ATAGCGACCATAGTTTTAATTGCTAATCTAATTCTTTTACGTAGTACCACTATTTGACGCTCGATTTGACCTTCTTCTTGTGCAGGAAATGAATGTGGTGGACCTTGTGAAAATTGAGTATTTTGTTGTGTACGAAATGGGGGTGGTGGACCTGTGCTAAATTCACTATGTTGTTGATCAAAAATTGCACGTGATGGACCTGTGCAAAATTTGAGGAATAATGAATGGTTTTGCTTTATTTTTATTGTTTTTCAGATCATCTAAATGGTTAAAATCCATTACTAGTTGCTTTAAACAATTTTTAATCTAAAAAAGATTAAAATTAATTTGAATTATTAAATGGTTTTTTTTACTTGTACTCGATAATCGTAGAATATTCGTTTCATGATTCAATCTAAAAAGAGAAAAACAAGAGGTTAAGGTGGACGAATAAGTTTGTAAATGAATATAAGAGCTATTCAAGAATCAGATCATCTACTTTTTCATCATTTCTTAGTACATGTTTCTGTTTGCATCTCTTAATGCACATGAGATTGAAATTCCCTGAATCTAAACTTTCCAATTCATTCATTTGGCAATTTGTTTGTTGTAGTTTTATTAATAGGATTACCAAATACTTTCGAGAAGATACTCGTAGTTTTTTACATATTTTTTCAAAGAGTGTATTTGCAGAGAGAATCTCTCGTTACTGACTTATAAATTCGGAAAGAATAGATTTTAGAAGAAGACCTTCATTATGAGAAGTGACAATATTCGATGGTCATTGCATTCTTTGTTGTACCGACATTTTTTTAGATATTAATCACCGATAATGACATATGGATAAAGAGGAATAACATGTTTTATCATAGTTCTGTGCATGATACCTTGAAAATTTTCAATAATCACTTTTTCACTGAAGGACTCGAATGCTAGGAACTAGATGACATAGTATTTGATAAGACTCAGGACCATGGGCGACGCAGCTTCAATTTTTTAGGGTATGCAATAAACTTTTAAATAAGGCTGCATACTGTACACGCTTCCACATACTGATCAGTTTTGCAGTGCAGTAGAAGCTTTTTTTTATAAACTTAGTTTTTCAAAGTCATAGCGCTGAAACTTTGCATACCACTTCATCACAGAGTTAATTAAGAGTCTTATAACAGGCTAACGTTTTTTCTTGAAAACAAATTTACTCAAAACGAGTTAGCAAAGACCCATGTTTGTTTTCTAACTGCCTTCGTTCACTGACCATTTAGTGCAAGACTTGATACTCACATAAAAGTTTTCTGAATATTTTAACAGCTGTTTCTTCTCGAAAGAACTATAAGTACAAGAATCTTCTTTCATTTTTAACTCTTCTAATGGTTGTTAGGGTTAATAAATATGCATTAATAGTAGAAAAAATCAATTTTTGCTCAAGAAAAATACACATTTCTTTTTTGTTTAATTTTAAAATACTTTTTTTCTTTCATCTTTTTTTAATATAAAATGGATTACAATGGTATCAATATCGATTTGATAATCTTTTTCTACATTTATTAATGCTAAAGATGATAATCGTTCTTATCATTTGTAGTCGATTTTATATCAAGAAAAGACGAAGAAAAAAAAATATTTTGAAATAAATTAAGTTTCACGAAAAACAAACAACGAAAAACTGAATTTTATTGGAAATAAGAAGCAGAAAAAGTTTAGTCATTATGCTCCACCAATTATTTACTATTTAATATAACTTCAGTTCTTTCGATGAAAATAGATGTCGGATATGTAGGTTGTGGAATACATACATCAAAATAATAAAATATAGATTCATAAGAGAATATTGATCAACATTCGTATATTAACTAAGAGATTGTATTAAATATATGTATACTGAATTAGACAGTTTTACTCCAATTTACAAAGACAACAGAAAAGATCTGGAGATGCAAAAAAAATTTATTGCATACCCAAATTTTTTTAGGGCATGTATTTGCTAACTCGTTGCTTGCTAGCGCGCCGCCCATGCTCAGGACTATATAGTTATATTCACATCTTTTTTTTTATTTCGATTCTACAGAGAACAACGCCGATAGAAGTGTATGTTATCATTCTTTCCTTTCGAGGTCTATTTGTTTATAATATTACTATTATTAAAGAATTCTTTACCTCCTTTTGCTGTTAAAATATTAGTTGATTTTGAATGTGGAGGAAGTGATATTGATGACTGTAATTGTTTGTGATATGATGGAATAAGATCTGGTGGTTGATGAGCAATATGTACATCAACATCAACAATTTATTGTTGTGTTAATGATGATATTTGTCGTAAATATTTTCCTTCATAAGATAGAATATGTATACGATGATCACCAACAATAATTTCATCTTGTAAACCAATTGTAAAACCTTTTATTGTTTTAATACCAAATAAACGTGTATCTATCTTATTTATTAAATCACCTGTACGACTATCAACAATTAAGAATGTATTATTGTCACATATAAGTAAAGAATTTTGATGTTGTTCACATACAGCTATTTGAACTGGTTCATTAAATGATGAACATGTTATTTGATGATGTATAGTAATCTGACTATTTTCATTTGATGATGAATCTGAATTTGCGATAGAAAATTCTGTTATGAGTTTACTTTTCCAATCAAGTAGATAAAATTTAGATGTGGAAGAACGATATGCAAGACCAGTACTTGTAGATTCAAGAAG